ACCTTTAGTATCAGTGCATGCCACCGTATAGCATGGTGCTGTAGAGCAGATAAGTAAACACACCCACGCAGTACAACAGTGAATTCCCTTCTGAGCGCTGACACACCCCATGAAGGTGCACTCACTCTAAACCATCTGCAGATTTGTCTCCCAGGTGGTTCGCTGAGTGCAGTGCTGTCACTCTCTGGATGGCTTGCCTTCAGCTATGTTGGCTGCCACGAGGCCACGGGGGCCCAGGATCTTATTACTAAACTATGCAGCTGTCACTCAGTGCCGAGCATACGATGGAGGCTAGGAAGGATGAATGGCAAGGCACACAGCGAATCCTCCCCGAGGTTTATTTTATATTTGATGATAAAAGGGTTTGAAGGAGGCCACCCGAGAACCGTAAACAGGCCGGCGGGGAGTCAAGGTATCTAGTCAAACACAATAAATAAGCCCAATCGATCCGAAGGAGAGAGGTTCATGGGTGGCAATTGGGCTGTCGCCGCACTTCATGAGCTATGGCCCTGCTGTGGCAGAGTGGTGGAAAGTGTCTGATGGGAACAGGTAAGAAATGCAAGGCCAAGAAAGCTGTGAATTATTCTAAAAGAAAAACACACCCTTACACATTGGCTTCTCTTCTCGTCTGCTGCCATCATATTATGTTTATTTTAAATTATGGTGTAAAAACAATTTCCTTCCTCTCATTCTAATTTTGTGAATGTACAGTGGTATCGGTACAGTGGTATAATTGCCCAAGTCTGAATATTTTGTACATGACTCAGGCATTCACACAGTATAAATGATGCTGGAATAAAACTAGGTCATCTCTGGGTACCAGGTGTCATAAAGCCTGCTGAAATACTACCTGAAATTAATCCCATGCATTCCCATCATCTCATCTCTTTTGTCCCTCACAGACAATATAGCAAGAGAAAAAAAAAAAAAAGAAAAAACAAGTAATCTAACCAGCAAGTCTCACAATTCTTGATGATGTTTAACACACGCTTGCCACAACATTATTTTGATATAAAGAACAAAACTGTACTATCAAACACTCTTAGTAGTGCTTAAACACTAACATCTATTTGTTTACCTGAATTGTTTTATTTTATCCTATATTATAAGACAGATTTGATTAGCCAGCTATTTTTTTTTTCTTTTTTACTTAGCTCCACCACGTGAACTGTATTTTGGTTCGTTCTAATGTTTGCTGATAAAATAAATCCACATCAGCCCAAGAAGTTAGGATGAAATTAGCTGCCATAATCTACTGACGACCGTCGGCAGGAAGATGGATGAAACCAATATGACATCATGCACTGGTTAGTGAAGCCTTGTCATGAAGCCTCAGACTGAGCCTGTTCACCTTTGTTATCTTGGAATTTTGATTCCTGATGCGATGAGTAAGGGGTGGATATGACTAATGGCTCGGCTTACTCACAGTCGAGTAAAAATAAGCCGGCAAACCCCTTGCTACAAGGAAAAAACATGGTGGCTGCCCGGTGATTGACTGAACTCTTTTTGCTGTAGTTGCGGCAGCCACTTTTTGATCCCAAGGATATTACAGGTTGCCTGGTAGGAGGCAACTTGTCTCCATAAAGTCGCACTAAAACTGACCGGATTCTCAGACTGGCGAAGGCAATAATTGCTGTTTAATTTATAAATGCAGACAGAATGACAACACACTGGAATTCATCTGAGTTAGTTTGCACAACTCTTCTGCAATGTGTCTCTTTGCTGGTTGCTAACTGGCTGTATTTCTATATAAAAGCCAGATTATCAAGCACCTATGTAATTTCGCAGTTAAATCAGCATTCTTCAGTACTACCTCACAATTTGTAGAGGAAATTGTTGAAATCTATTAAATTCTGGCTGAACTAAATGCAAGTACAGTGTTCCCTCGTTTATCGCAGGTTTTACGTTCTAAAAATAACCTGCGACAGGTGAAATGAACAGTTTCACACGTTTCTCTCTTGTTTCAACACTCTCAAAGTCCAAGCCTTAGTAGAATAATAAATCCAGTATTATAGAATGGAACTAAAGATCAAACCCTGTTTTCAAGTCCAGAACATGGGAATAGAGCAGCTAACATTAATGAATCAATGGTACGGAAGTGGGGGAAGCAAGAAGAATGAGTTGAGTAAAGTTTGACTTATCTGACTGTTTGATTTCACTTAATGCGCCTTATAATCCTTTGACGTTGACACTGTTGTGTTGTCTTCTGCTAGCGAAGATTTATATAAATTTGACAAGTTGTACAGGAAACACGGCAAGAGATTGATTGAAAACGGTCTACAGCCAATCAGGATGCAGAACACAATGCACTGTAAAAAAAAAAAAAAAAATGCACACCAAAAAATCCGCGAAACAGCGAGGCAGCAAAAAGTGAATCGCGATACAGCAAGGGACCACTGTATGTTCATTTGAATTTCTGGAGCTTTATCACAGTTAATTACCATTAACACAAACACATTGCATGTGATTACCAACTTGACCCTATTCACCTGCAAACTGACAGCAGATCTTACGGCTGTATTATCGCCATCTTGATGCACCAATATCAGCAACGGTCTTTGGTCTTAGCAACCACAGCAGCTGGGAGCCAATTTATTACAAAAACAATTTGCCTGAAGTTTTTTACATAGAAGTCAAAGACCGTTATAAGCAAAGGAAGACTCAAACTTTAAGTTACAACCAGATTTTAAAAAGAAGAATAAAGCATTTCATACATGTAAACGGCTGCTTTAAGCATGTGTAGCAAAGTTCTTTCTCTCTGTTTCAGCCAATCAGCCTCTGGAGTCCCGGTCTTTGGTCCAGAAATGGCATTAAAATGGAATTACTCAATGCCAGCTGGCTTTTTCTAAAATTTATGGAGCGTATCTAGAGTGCACTTTACACTTTATGACATTTTTTAGTGCAACGAAATAATTGATCACTGTTAAAATGGACAGCTACAGTAGATAATTGGCTAAAAATCATCACAGATTCATAACATGGAAAGACAACGTTCCCACTCAGATGAATAAATACACAATGAATAAATACGCAATACATGATGGACAAAAGGTAAAATATACATGTTGAGGTTTGGAGGAATTTGAGGGTTCACCTTTTATAAAAACGGAGTGATCCAAAAACAAGACACAAAATCCAGATCTCTAATCACAGTGTGCCAAACAATCCACGTGAAGGTTAGGAAACAATCCAAAGAGAAATCCAAGAGGAGAACAAACATGAGAAGATGAGAAATCCTGGAAAGCCTGACAACAAGTACTAACAAGACAACATTCGAAGTGACAGAGTGAAAAGGGTGTAAATTTACAGGGTATATATTTCACTGATAGGAACAAGAGTGGCAGGATAACAAATGAAGGAAGCAAAGTGAGTGCAAGGAGACTTGGGATTACAAACCAAAATAGGAAATGACTTGAAATAAACCCGCAGGAGAGTTTGCTGATTCACAGAGCGAACACATCCATATTTTGGAGGAGGTGGAGGTGTGGATGTGGGATAAACTAAACACAGGACTCCTGAGACTGAGGTTTATGGAGACAGCCAGCAGACCTCGATTACCATCCTGTTGAAAATTTTGTATTCTTTTTGTTTTAGTTTTTCCTTTTTTTTCAGTTCCACCTACTGGTTAGGTTTATGTACTAACACCTACTTGAATAGGTTTGGGAACTATAGTGAACTTGGGTAGGTTTAGGCCAGGGGAGGGCAACTCCAGGCCTTGAGGGCCTTTGGAGCACTTCAAGACATGTTGAGAAGGTCATTCAGCCATTCAAATCACCTGTGTGGGATCATGGACACATCTAAAACCTGCAGGACACCGGCCCTCGAGGCCTGGAGCTGCCCGTCCCTGGTTTAGGCATTAAATATACTTGAATGGGCTCAGGAATCAAAATAAAGTTGGTGTGGTTCAGGAACTCTCTTTTAGCGCCTAATATTTGTTTTAATCAGGAAACCCTGATGTTGAAATTCTTCAGTTTGAGAGCAGATGTTTTGTCACTTTAACTGAAGATTAATGCTAATGTTGTATGTCTGTGATTTGTTTTTGCTAAGCTCTAACACATGAGCCCTGCTGCAGCCAAAAACTTTAGCCCTCACAGCTCTTTTTTTTCCTAAGCTCCATCACAAGTGGCCCCAAAGGTCACAGGCCAAAAGCCAAAAGCAGCTCAATAGAATTAATATTCATTTTACAAATGCTGGCTCTCAAGCAATTAACCTTCTGTCCTGGACGTGATGTGCGGGCAACTTAACGTGGATGTTCCCTGGTTTTAATTACTCTCCAAAGTCGCCGGGCCCAGCCGGAATTTGAAAGTTATTTCAAAGTAAAGTGCATCAGCGGCAGGAACGGGAAACATCTGACATCAGCGTTTACGACAGAGTGGAATCTGTCACAATAACAATATTCAAATGCAAACTGGGATCATCGCTGCAGTCGATAACAGACGTGACCTCAAAGTTATATTCAGTAAAATGTAATATTCCATTACGAAGATGATGAAGTCGAGTCTGCAGTGGTGTTTATGCCCGAGCTCTTATGAATTTTGTATTAGTAAATATTGAAGTTTTTTAAATCATGGTCAGGTGATTTTCTTTAGGAATCATGAAAATTAGTCATTCCTAATAAGACTCAAAACACCTTCCTTTAAATGTGGATGCAATAAAGTGAGAAATAAAAACTGACTTGAAAGTGAGCCATAAATAATATTTTTTTTAAACCCAGAAAATCCCCCCTATGTCTGTTCTCATCAATATTTATTTATGCATCAATATTCTAGTCTGTTGGTAATAAGTGGAGGAGGGTGTAGAGTTGGAGTGTGTGCTCAGAACAGCCCACACGATTCCTGCTGAAATTAAGTACAAGCAAACTGTTTGCATAAAAGACTATCACACACTGAGGAGTGTCATTACACGCCGCCTGATTAAAAATCATTCAAGGCTGTCGAGTTTCAGTCTCAGACTTGCACTTTTTTCTTTTTAACAGCATTTTTTCTGTGCACCTTTTTTTCCTTTTTCTTTTTTATAGGATATAAAATGAGAGGCTGAAGCTCAACGAACCAAACTCAGAATGCGTTTCTCGTATCAGCAGTGGCTTTGCTGGAAGGTGAACGCTTTCGGTAAACAGCCTGAAAACAGCAATAAACCTCAATTTTGTAATAAACATGTCTGATACATGCTGAGACTCTGAAGCAGGGAGCGTTACTCTGGTTACAAACACAATCTTCTCAAAATCCTTACTCTTAATTTTGCAAAACACTACAGTATTCATGACTGCATGGTTTAGATATGGTAAGTAGGCTTATTTTGAGACAATAGGCAAAAACTCAACTGAAGCGCATTACAGAGAAAAAGTGAGGCATGTTCTTCAGACCGAATATATGCATTACATCTCAGTTTTTCTCTGCTCTTACTCATTATTCACAGCCCATTCGAGCCCTCACTAAGAGCTGAATTTCTCCAAATATTAGGTCCATTTTTCAGCTGATTTAAACACAGAACGTGGGGAGAAAACTGAGTAACTCCGGAGCATTTCTCATTGTTACTGAGAAAATGAGAATTGCATCACACTCATCTGCCACTTTATTAGGTACACCCAAAGGTGTTCTATTGGACTGAGATCTGTTGACTGTGGAGACCATTTAAGTACAGTGAGCTCATTGTCATGTTCAAGAAACCAGTTTGAGATCATTTGAGCTTTGTGGCATTTGTGGCATGCACTCCTGCTGGAAGGAGCCACTGTGGTCATTCAGAGATGGACAACAGCAACAATACTTAGGAAGGCTGAGGAGTTTAAACAGTGTTTAGCGGTGACTAAGGGACCAAAACTTTGCTAATAAAATATCCCACGTACAACCACACCACAACCAGCCTGAACTGTTGATAAAAAGCAGGATGGATCCATGCTTTCATGTTGGTTGCTCTAAATTCTGCCCTTCTACCCTGCCATCCAAAAGTCCAGCCGAAATCAAGACTCATCAGATCAGCCAACACTTTTCCAATCTTCTGTTGTCCAATTCTGGTGAATCTGATTGCATATTAGTCTTTTCTGTTCTTAGCTGATGGGAGTGTTGTAACAGGTGGTTATTTGCTTTACAGTTTTCTTCTTATTAGTTTCAAGCAGTTTGCCCATTCTCCTTCATCATCTGGCATCATCAAGGCATTTCCACCCAGTGAAATGGATATTTCCTCCTATTTGGATCATCTTCTATAAAACCTACAGATGTTTGTGTGAGGAAATACCGCAAATCAGCAGTTTCTGAAATACCAGCCCATCTGGCAGCGACAACCCCGCCATGTTTAAAGTCACTTTTCCTCATTCTCATACTCAGTTTGAACTTCAGCAGGTCGTCTTGACCTACATGCCTAAATGCACTTGAGTTGCTGCCATGTGATATCTGCGTTAATGAGACGTTGAACAGATGTACCTGATGGAGTGGGGAAAAAAAGAAAGAAGCAGATTAGGCCCACTTTAAAGGCCATTTCCAGTATAATATTCAGCACTGTCTGCCAGTCCAAATGATCATGACTGCAATCCTTTAATTAACCAGGAACATGTTGATTTTATGTCCTTTTCATTCTCACATCACTTTCACTATGTCTGGCATCATCATCATGCCCACCTTGTCACCATCGACCATGAGGTAATACCAGTGAATCCGCATTCAGAGTCACATCGACACAGAAGCACAGAAACAAATTGTGTCCTATCAGGAAATTAAGCCACACAGTAATTGTGACTAACAGATAAAAACCCACTTTATGAGCTGGTTTTAATGCAGCCGACCCTTCCTCGTTCATTTATGTGAGGACAAAGATTCTGTCTAATACTTATTATGTTATTAGGCTAACAAGGGTGTACAATTGGCCAGTAATTGAATCAGACCACAGTGGGAGTGAAGCAGTTTTCTGCTCAGGACAACAGTGAAATTATCAGGTGATAATAAAACCAGAGACCTGGAACTGAAAATATCCTGAATGTGAATCTGTACTTTCAGATGATAGTGGCGACCGTATCTACTTGCTCACGATTCTCCTCATGATCTTTGGAGGCGGGAACTGCTTTTCTTAAATAAACGAGTAAATTATAACATCTATAAGCTTCTAATTTCTCTTAATTTTTTATTTGTCAAGTTCTTCGAGACAAAGAAAAACCTGAGCAACATACTCTCCTACACTAACTACGGCTCCACCAGGTCGACTGGTTGTCTTGTGCTGCAGAGCTCGATGAGCTCGGTGTGGTGGGGAATTAGAATAGCAACCTCATGGAAGCATGTGACAGGAAGTGATATTCAGGATACCTCCTGAGTGCTTCCCAGGTGAGGTGTTTTGGGCATGTCCTGCTGCTTTGATCTTCTGTAGATCAGTCTTCTGATCCTCCTGAAACTGAGCAGAATAAGAGACCTTTGATGTCGAAGCAGCGAGCGATTCCTGATTGAGCTGCACATTTTTTAGAGGCGGGTGAAATATGCACAGAATGCACAAAAGTCTAACAATTCTTAAAGAAGAAGCCCAATGAACAGTGAATTAGCCTTTAATTAGCGATGCTTCACTTCTGCATTCTCACCTTTCTTTAACCTTTGTGTCCCCTTTGAAATAGTGAACAAGTTGATGTGGTTGGTTCTCAAGCAGTTATTTAAATGAACCTGTTTAGGACGAGGGGGGAAATCCTTCCTCTAAACTTCTATAAAACTCAAAGGTTTGTTTTCCAAAGATAAGTGTTTTACTTTACCATGAACTCAAAGAAACTTTCTTTTATGCACAATGCTTGGAAACCACGGGTTAACGTGTTTTGTAACTCCTAAGCTTATAAGTTCTTTTTAAAGTTCAGCATTTCCCTCAGAAGAATGTAAAAAGAAGTGAATGTAAAGTAGCATTAATGACAGTTTTCAAGGCACAGACTTCAGTTGGGCAGCTTGCCCATATATGTAACAGCCACCAAATTATTTGCACTTCACTTTGAGTAAATGTCGCCTAAAAGCATGTCAAACACAAAGCCTGACAAATGTTAACAGTGTAAAGTACGTCTTACACTACGTCTTTCCATTCCTACAGGTCCACTGTAAAACTCTCCATGCTTTCATGTAATCCCTGGCTTTAACCAGACTTCTGCAGCTAGTACAAGTCTGCACTTTGATACAAAAATTACATGTTCTACTAGTTGCTTATGAAGATGTGTACTTTGAGGCACAAGACCTCAATCTCCTCATAAAATCTCAGTATTCTTGGTCAGTTTCCCTCTCCCTGTCTTAGCCTGCCACAGACTGTAAAATGAGGATGGACAGAGCCACCCCGTATTTTGTGGAGTCCCAGTTTGAAGCTTGGAGTTGGGTCTTTTAGATGTGTTTTTCTGGAGCCATCCATGACCATATATGGAGGAGAAGATGGTGAGCAAAGACATGCATCCATGAAGCCCATACAAACACAGGTATACATACTAATTACTGCTAACAGACTCAGAGAACACTCCAGTGTCAATGGAAAAAACTGGACCATAGACAGTCTGAAGTCATGGCTTGTTTGTTTGGTTGGGTTTTTTTGTTGTTGCCAGATTCTATTTTAAAATGCTCCAAAAGGCACCCACAGCACATCCAGGGGTCAGAATTTAGGGACTTCAATTAGCTGAGGCGAAACCTAGCAGACAGCTAGTAGCTATAGCCTGTGTCGAATACACCTGTCAGTCAAAGAGGCCACGCCCCTCATAATGTACACACTTTAATACAGTTAGAAGAGGAAAGTTATTTAAAAACAAAAATCACCCCTAAAATGAAGTCGCAACCTTCAGAATTGAAAAATGAAGACAAAGGCTCAAGAGTCAAAAACTGCAGTTCCTGTAATGACCACTTGAGACACGCTCCAAAGATAAGCCAGTTCTAACAGACTCCCAATTTAAAATGTCCAACTGAAATAAACATGTTTACGGCTTGCTGCAAGAAACTGATCCTGGAAACCGGCGGGAACTGAGTGAGTCCAACATAAAAACAAACAGCCCGACATGCAGACAGTGTTTGCTCTGTTGGTGTCATTTTGGTTTCAGACCATCCTACAGTGTGCTCCAGCTCCATTTTCCCATCCAAATAGTTTAACCTCTGCCTCCAAAAAAACCAACATGGTGGGTGTGAAGCTTTAAAATGCGGAGACAAAAAACAAAACAAATCGTGATATCACCTGTGGCTACGTCTACTTTTATATAAAGAAACTGCAGGTTTTTGCACTTTCACCTCAGTTTCTCAGCCCTGGAAGCTGCAGCTTGGTGTAAATGTCGAGCAAACCTTCAGCTCTACATTATCCCTCTCATATCTTTGTCAATTATGCAGAAATTATAATGATAACCGCCACTGGATTGCTCTGACCTGAAAGTGATTTTGTGCATCTTGTTTGTGCGATCATACTCAACCGAGTTATGTTTTAGAGGAGCAGTGTGGTTCACAAATTGCATCAATCAGCCCTACAGGCTTTAAAACACCTTAACTGCCTCCATTAGCTGAGTGTCACAGACTCTGCACTAGCTTCCCATTGTTTTCACATCACACTGGTTCTTTACCTCAGTCCCTCCCCGTCGGCCCCCTTCAGCCTGAAGTAAAACTCACAACAATTCACATTAAAAGTTTTTAAAATGTTTCACAGTATTTATACTTTCAGCACAAAAGAAAAAAGAATAATCGCACACAAACACCAAGGTTATAAAATCAATACTCTGAATGTGTGAGTTTTAGGAGTACATAATAGACTCCTGTGCTGTGATTCAGACACACACACACACACAGGTTTGGCTGGCGTTCAATGCCAGGCTGATCCAGCAGGACATCACAGTAGACTGACTCAAACAGAGGAAGGTGTGTTTGTATGCCTAAACCAGTAATGTTAAACCACTTAAATAAACAGACCACCCTGCCCATTTCTCTTAGCAGTGCGATAACCTTGAATGACATCATGTCCTGACATACGTCAGCACACAGTGAAGATTAGAGTGATCTGAGAGTTCAGTTTAGCAACGTTAAAGCACAGTGAACTATGGGAAAGCGACGTGTTGAAGTGAAACACTAATACACGTGCAGAAACAAATGGCAGCTTCGACTGTCCCAGCTGTACTCAGGCTACCTAATTTAAGGCAAAAACAGTTTGTGTAAGTCTAACAAGCTTAGGTCAATATATGGTATGAGCGATTTTATATGATTTTAAACGGACTTGAGTAATTTGGGCTGGGCCTGAAGCAGCTACACGTGCCTGTATGCACTGAGTAAACAACACCAGCACTGCTATTGTTATTTTTGCTGTGGATTATGAAGACCAACATCACTACTATCCACTCAAACACCGAGATCTCAGCAGGTCTGTAAATACGAGCAGTAACAATGCAGGTCAGCAGCAACGCAATATGACGCAACTTTGTGAGTCCGAACTGGTGACAAAGGAGGCGCAACATCCTCAGTGATGTAGCGCACCTTCTTCGTGATGAATATGCATTACCACCATCAGGATGGAGCTGCAGGGCACCACCTTTGCAAAAATCTTTTCTAGCTCTGCTGAACAAGTCCAGGTGATTCATGAGGTCCTTAATGTCAGTAACTAGGAACTCATCATTGTTGTGGTCGTATCTGTCTGACAGCTGCCACACAACACAAATGAGATTTCTAAAAGGATAATAAACACTATAATCCAGTATCATCTTATCTGAATGATTATTGTTATATTGAGAGGAGGAGTAAAAGAAAGGGAGTGCCGGGTGGCTTACACTGAGCCAATCAGCAGAGGGAGAGGGCGGTGCTCTGTGCTGTAAATACTTATCTCAACAGAAACTTTTAACAACTGTTTTCTTTGTTGTTCTGTAGCTTTTTCTACTTTCAGTATTAAATGTATTTGCTGGGTTCAGAATACTTCTGTTTCTTCAGCCTCTATTAACCAACCTATGAATGTGACATGATGCTCAGATTTAAACAAGTGTAGGGCAGGTGTGAAATGGCTTGTTGTGATTGGTCAAAATTTCCCTGATAACAAAAAAGTTGTCTTTTACTTTTTTGTAGAAAAGGAAAACATGTTTAGGTTTCTTTTTGTTTTTAATTTAAAGTTTTAATTCTGATAACTGGAAATAAAACTTCTTGGGTCAAGTGGGTCAGCCCTGGCCCCTTATTCTCTGAGTGGTGACACCTATCCTTCAGGAGAATACCTCAGCGGCCTCCTATGCCTTAACGGCAGGTTTAAATAGAAGTGACTGTGATACAATGTTGTGGTGGCAAGCGACCATTACGGTGGGTAAACCGGGGCCTTTAGGCAGCTTTCTGGAATTTCTGTCAGTATATTCAGGAATAGTTCTTCAGGCTTCTCAAAGGATATCCAGAGCTCTTTGGATGTCTCTGCCTTTAAATGATCCCATGCTGCTCAAATGTTGCCCAATCCATGACTTTCCCCAATCCAAGTCATGGATTGGGGAAACCAATCCATGACTGATAGAAAGACACACAATGGAGCACTATCCAGATATGCTTTTACTGCACTGGCAGTGTATCATTGTGTCATCATGCTGCAAAATAAAGTTGCTGCCAATCAAATGCTTTCCGAGGGTATTGCATGATGGATGGATAGAATTTTCATGAGGCTTCAGTGAACAGTAGATGGTTCAGATCACCTCTCAGTCTTGTTTCAGTTCTCTGCAGGATTTTGTCCTCTTTCATAAAAACATGACTTTCAGATACTGTTCATCAGCTGTAGATAGTATTTCAAGTCTGCCACTTCTTTTGTCCCCCACTTGTCCAGTTTCCTAAAACTTTATAGAGCGCATTGACAACCGTAAATGAATTTACAGGTAACGGCCTATTAGGAAGAGTCTTTGAAAACTGTGTGTGCTGTATGAGGATTTTATCCAGAGGAATATGCTGGTATTATACAAAAGGAGGATTATTGTGGAATAAAGGTGGACCTCTGTTCACAGCCCAGTTTATTTTCCCCTGTTAGCAGACCAGCATCCACAGTTTTTAAGATATCAAGCTCAATTTAGTCCAATGGTACCAATAACAGCTCGAGTTGATTTAATTTAGGTGAAAATCAGTAAGAAATTGATATTACCCACAATTCTTCATGGATCGACTTCATACACAGCAATATATGTGGCCTTTGGGGATATGAATACCTAGGCTGACTAAGAATTTGACCCTGACCTTCACTGATAGCACCCAAGATCAAAGGTGACCTTACAAAGACATTTCAAGAAACCATATTGAGTAATATATCATATAAAAGGGCATGGAGAGCGCTATGCAGCACACCTGTCATTATGGTACCCTACGACATCACAGTGAAGCAATAAAGTTTGAATATACCTTAAAATCTCAAGTTTTTACAGCTTATAAAAGTCAAAGATTTCAGCCAGTTGGGCAAAGAACAAAAAATGCAATATTTTAGTACGTAATGCTTGAATGCATGTTGTATAAAGTGCTTTAAGTGTTCAGATGGAGTAGAAAATCACTATATAAGAACGAGTCCATTAAACAAAAGCAGGTTGATGTCAGCATGTTTTAATACAAAAAAAAAAAAAACTTAAAACATCAAACAGCTCTTTGGGGCAGGGGTGATGGTTAACGCACCCATATTTAAAGTTAAAAAAACCCCCAAAACAATTCAAAATGTTTTGGAGGTGTCGCTGGGACCAGGATAACAGGGGTTTAAAAGTTTTATTCTGTTAGTGTGCAGTTAGCTCATGCACGTCCTGTTTCCTGTCAGTGTTTTGTGTATTTATGCGCTGAGTCTGCTGTATGACTAAAGGGACACAGTCAGTCTGCTGCCTTCACTGCAGAACATCAACATCCGTTAACACCTCCGAGCCTCTCCTTCTTCGAGGCCATTCCTTGCTCATATTCAGTGGACCCAGACAGAGCACACAGGACGTCCAACGTGTCATTATTCCGCAAACTCTGCTGTTAACATGTAGTCTGGGTTAGGCAGGTGCTGGCATGCCTGACTGCTCTGGTAGAAGAATTCCTCTCTGTGATGTGTTTAGTGAGGTTTCACCCATGTTTTTGTCTCTTGTGATGATTTCATGTCAGTTTTTGAGTGGGAAGTATTTTTCTTAAGAGTTAAAACACGACCATGGAGCATTTTGACTTCCTCAACTTCAAGACTTCACACTGGGCAGCATGAAAACATCTCTTTGCAAGGCTAAAAGCTTAATAGAGATTTAGCTTTCTGGTGGAAGTCCATATTAAACATGGTCACACTTTTGGATAACAGACAAAAAGGTCTAAACACTCCGTTTCAGGCAGCTTTTAAAACTCCTGGATCCTTATGATGTCATAGAAAGCAGATATCCTAATAAACTCCACCCACATGCCATTCAAACATGTTCTAAATGAGGAGCAGCCAATCAGAAGAAGGAGAGAAGCTAAAATAGTGTGTTTGGGGCTGTGAGGCTGCTCCGACTCCTAGTTTAAGGCAAAGGATGATTATTTTGAACAGTGACTCATGCAAAGCTACCCTGGAGTCCAAGGATAAAAATTCAGAGCTGGACATGAGCAGAACAGCTCAGCATTAAACAAGCCATGATTACTATTACAGGCAATTTGTGTGCAGCGTGTTTGACACACCCTAAACAAAAGCAGCTTGTGCGTGTCAGTGTGTGACATCAATCATTTTCATGGTCAGAACAAGGGAAGAAGACAGCCCAGACTCGTTTTTATTACTTCCTCTTGTGGCTCAGAGACAAAGTGGTGTTTTTACTGTTGGTGTAAACAAGCGGAGAGACTGCACATCACTCATGTAGAGCACGGTGCACAGTGTGTACAAAGAAGACCCTACTTCATTGTTTCTGTTAACATTATCGAGAAATTTAGACTCGGGAGAGTTCAAGTAGACTCAAGCACTTTGGTAAGAAAAGTCCACCTCTTTAAATTAAGCTGATCTTAAACTTAGATTTGTTTTCGCTCCTCCCCCTTTAAGACACATTTCTTCTGATTGGCTGTCATTGCAAACAAAAGGTTTGAGAAGCAGATGGGTGGGGCTTCCGCACCTGAGATGATCATATTAGGGATATGCTATCCCCTCTTCATGCCATCATACAGTAAAGTATATTTACAGTTTAACTGTGCATCCTTTAACTAACCAATCAGCATGTAGCAGCAGAATGCCAGTCTTCTTTGGCCGTGTTGTTTTATTTGAACTAAAAGACTTTATTGACATTTTATTTGTTAAAAACAAATTCAAAAATTTTGGATTTTTGTTGAGTTGTTAATAATTACTTTGTTCCAAAGGTCAGGGGTCAAACCGGGCCACTAAAGTGACTTTGATAATATTCCCAGTACAGTAATGCCAGCCCTGACACTGTCTGTGTGAATTTTTTTTTCTTCCTTTTTTTTACTGCAATTTGTACGTGTACTTACACTTCCATGTCCTGGGGGTATATTTTCAAAGGCTGTTTGTTCTGGTAATAAAATAATTTAATAGGAAATGATATTTTGTGGTATTTCCACTTTACAAATGATGGCGAGGACAGTTCTAGAATAAACTCAACGCTTAAAGAAGGGAAAACTTTGGACAGTGTTTTTAAAAAAATTAATTTAAGCTGTTGTGATTTTTTTTTTTTCTGGTCCAGCCCACGATGGTTTTTTACCATTTTGCGGCACTGCCATTGGTTGCGGACTACCTTGTGATCGCCCTCTGCTGCATGCCTGACTGAACTGCAGCCAGGCAGTGGACTGGCGCATTCTGGTGTCATGATGTCGCCGCTTCTTCCACGTTTGTGGCATCAGATTCAAATTATTTTACAAATTTCTGCAGCTTCATCGGTTTTAAGACATTAATACAATACAATAGATTCCAACTTACCAAGAAAAACTATGGTCTGCTTCCTGGCTGACTTGACCTTTGAATTTTCATTGTGGATTGCTCTTTGATTTCCACTGGTGCTTCCTTCAATGAATCCCATCGGCTTCTTCAGGACCACGATCATAGCTCGGCACATGAAAGCCACGCAGACCAGCACGATCATGTACACGATGAAGGCAAAGAAGATGCTGATCCTGTACATCACCCAGTGCTCCCTCAGGTTGGTGCAGAAGGTCAGGTTCTGGACTGGGGTGCTGCGCGTGACTGGGATGTGCCCCTGCGTTCCCATGGTGATCAGCAGTGGCAGGGCCACGAGCAGGGCCACGACCCAGGCGAAGGTGATTAGGCCGGTGGTCCATTTTCCTCCCAAGGTTTTAAAGCGAAAAGGGTAACAGGTGGCGATGTAGCGCTCAAAGCTGAGCGTGGCCACGTTGAGGATGGTGGCATAGCTGCAAGCCTCAAACAGGAAGTTGTAGATCTTGCAGAAGGCGTTGCCCGACGCTGACGAGAAGGGGAACCAGATGGCACTGTAGAGCTCCACCGGCATGCCAATGAGAAGCACCAAAATGTCAGAGCAAGCCAGACTCACCATGTGGTCAGTGACGTTCTTCTGAAGGTAGCCCTTACGCTTTAGCACCTGGGTCACTCGGATAGTGACTGAATTACCCACAATGCCCGTCACCAGGATGAGGCTGTAGAGGACCGTGAGGAAGATTTTGATCCCATATTTGGGTTCAAGCTCTTGCCAGTTCTTCTCCTCTCCTCTCTGCACTTCCTCATTCATGGCTGCAGACTGGCGCGTCCAGATTTTCCAGGTATTGCTTTTCTTATCAGTCCTGCTGCGCGCTCTCCTTGCGGGCCGGTTTTTCCTGGAAACAGCTTAACTTTGTCTCAAAGTATTCCCGACTATCGCAGAGGTGGGAAACACGGATCGCTACGCGCACTGTGGAAAACTTTCTAAACAAAAACTCCGCAGTTTACCCGGCGTGCTTCCCCAGCCCCGGCCACCTCCTTTCTGCCTTCATGATCAGGTAGAAGTATCCAGAGAGTTTCCGCCCGTACGTGTCCTCCTGTGGTTTCACCTGACAGTAAGTAAAGTGTTGGGCAACATTTAAATTGCGCTGACTTCCTCCTCCCTCCGATGAGAACAGCCCAGTTAAACATCAAACACGAGCGCGGGTCTGGTTTCACCCCACACACTGTAAGAAATAAAAAGCAGGTGGGCCAACGAATAAAAACAAAACACGAAGCAGATCAGCAACAGACTGCAAGAAAGAAACACGGAACTTCCTAAAAATGCTGGGCAAGCAGAAGTTTACTTTGCCATTTAGTTTTCAAAACATACACGCAGTTCAAAATATTAAGCTGCCTGAACTTTATAATACACACTTATTTACTTCTGTTGGGCCAAGTCAGCCTGACATCACAACCCAAACATTTTATGCACAAACATTTATTTTATTTTAAACAAATATGCAGATATTTGGAATGATGGAGGCAGGTGCAGGAAATTTTCCACAAAGTCTGAAGTGTCTCTCTGATTTCTTTGTATAGTCCATATCTTAAACTGATTACTGATTAATGGAGCACTGCTGAAACTGTCCAATCACGGGTCAAAGGCAGCTGGAAACATGTCTGATAACACTGACAGTATTGAGAAAGAAATATAAATATTTTCAGTCCCAAGTGGTTCTGTGTTGAAGTTGCAATTTCATGATTAAAGTTGTTGTTTTTTAAGTCAAACAGCTGCCACAGCTGCTACACCATCTACAAAATGTCTTGTGTTGAACTTTAATCTCCACATTTTCACTTTTCTTTATCAAAAAAAAACAAGAATATGTTGTTCGTAATGTAGCTCTAATGCTCTTTTATAGCCCGGTAATCTGATTATGTGTATATAGCTATAGGAGTGAAACAGGTTGTAGTATTTACTTTCCAACGTCAGCGTACTTGTTTGTTCCTCTTTCCCTTTTGTTAAAAGCTCTGTATGTTCTCTGTAATGAATCAGGCGTCTGCTTTGAGCTGAACAGCTGGACTGTTGAATTTGTGTGTTCATTCATTCACAGATTTTCAATTCATGGCATTATTTGCCATCTCAACTAGTTCAGTTAAACATTAACATTGACAATGTTACAGTGCATGATCGGTCCTAATGTGCCTCCTTTACACATCCTCTGCCTCGAGTTTTTAGCGAGAATAGAAGCAGCAATTGAAACGCTGTTCAGTTCAGTACAAATAAACATTTAAGATTTATACCGAGCTTGTGCTGAAGATAAAAATGAAGTTCCTGCACAATCAGAAATCCTGAAAACGACTTCAAACAGGACAGAAATGTGCACTTTTAGCCACAGTTGTTCATTTGGATGACGGAGAAGTCAAAGGTGGAATAAACTAAATATGAAGGAGGTGAGTTCATCACCAGGCCCGGGGAAGAAAATCTGACTGCTTTTCCTCCTTTTTAAAGGTAATCAGTGATGAATGCGGGGCCATTCTTTCTCTATAAACATGAAGTACACTCGAGTGCATAAACCCTAAAAGGCTGACTCCTTGAAGTGATGAAGGCAGGCTGAAGCAGATTAGATAAAAGCTTTGAGGACCTTCTCGCTGTGATTGAGTATTGTCAGATACCGTCAATTAAACTGCCGAGCTCCATCGAGCGTCACTGGCAGCCAGATGTTAACTGTCAAAACTAAAATTGAGGTTGATTGTTCATTATGGTACTGATGCCTCTTAATTATGTGATATTGTGTTCAGGCTCCAGTTTGTAGATCTCAGTAACGACAAACTGTCCGTTTGACTTTGAGATCATGAGCAGCATCATGAGGCGAGGAATCATCACAGCTGTTTGAGGTTAAAGGAAAAAAAGAGCAGACATGACGTGATAAGGACTCAACTAACAGCTGATTATTTTAAAGGAAAAAAAAGCAGCCAAACGTCAGACACAAGGCCGACTTTCAGCCTACGCACAGTTCATATTCCTAAAGTGGATAAAGTGAATCATGAGTGAAACTACAGATAATGTGCAGAACATAATTTTTTAGCAGTTTTTCACAACCCACTGTGCAAAATAAGCAGGTCAAATATCTAAATAACACCAAGACTGGGTTAAAAACCCACAGGAAACAAAGCTTTGTTTCAGGCTGCAGAAATGAGGAAGATTTCCCTTTACATCCAATCTGGCTAATGAGTGAAAGGAACTTCCTCCTCCCAATCACCTCTGCAAACTCCAAACAGGATGTGCACAAAACTTCAGGAAAAAATATTTAGTTTGCTAATTCATTCCGGCCATTATCTTCTCTCTCTCTCTCTCTCTCACACACACACACACACACACAGTCTTTTTATTTTTGTTAGCAGTGAAACACAGATGGTGAGAACTGCAGTCAATCTAATGGCCACTAGAGGCTGGCTCCCATAGACTCTTATTTTAAAACGTCAATCAAACATAAGAGTGAAACAGAAACCCTAAAAGGATGACGCCTTGAAGTGATGAAGGCAGGTTGAAGAGGATTAGATAAAAGCTTTGAGGACCTTCTCGCTGTGATTGAGTATTGTCAGATACAGGCTGGCTCCCATAGACTCTTATTTTAAAATAGAGAAGCAAACATGTTATTATAGCTATGGAGGGTTTCTCCCTTCACATCTTCACATATGAAAATAATTCTGACCTATGTGTACACTCTATTTCTACACAGTGCTGTGCAAAAGTCCAATTTTTTTACAAGTTGCTTCCAAAGAACCAGAATTAATCATTTCTGAGAAGTGTGTGTTTGATAAGTTCCTTAACACTAATCTATGAGTCATTCAAGTGGAAAGAAAAGCTCCTAACTCGGGGATGAACCAGTGTTGTGTCAACAAATAAAAGGCAACCTGGCAAAGAACCAATTTAAAATAAACATATCATTTGTTCCCCCTTTTTTTTTTTCAAATCTACAAAAAACCCAAAAGATAAGTTTGAAAGACAAAAATTGTATTTTCTGCCAATGCAGTAAAAGCATACCAGGACAGAAAAACAGTGGAAAACTATCAGTCATGGATTGGGCTCCAAGTCCAGACCTCAACATTATTGAAGAAACCCGGAGAACTAGAAGACTAGTTAAAGGAATTAAAACAAAGTTTCCTAAACAGTTCAGACTGTGCTGAAGAATAAAAGGTGGTTATACCAAATATTGACTTTTAGTCTAGTTAGAACTCTACAAACTTTTTTTTTTTTAACCTTGTATGCAGTTTCCATCTTTCTCCACCAAAATATAAAACATTTACATTTGTAACAAAGTAACTTTTTCAGCTTTTCATAAATAACGAGGAAGGGAAAAAAAATCTACTTTAGCAGGCAATAGTCAAATTTAAAAAAAAAAACAACTTTTTTCTCCCCTCTGGGTTTGTTTTTCTTCGTTGCTTGTTTGGTAAATAATAAGAGGGGAAAACAATGTTTAACATGAAAAGTTCTGTTTTGTATTCATTGTAAACAGTTTGTTTTCAGTCTTCTTTTTTTCCTTTCTAAACTATATCCACAAATTCTCCATTAAAATATTTTGAAATAAAAAAACAAAACAAAACAAAAAAACAACTTTTAAACTTTTTTTCACTCGTAACGTCCAGCAGGGGGCGACTCCTCTGGCTGCAAAAATAAAGAAGTTGGGTTGTATGGACGTTTATGGGAAAGTAAACTCATCAGAAAAGTATATATTCACACTTACAGCTGTCATGCTTCGTACAGCATGATTCTTGTTTTGTAAATCTCACCCCAACCGGTCGCAGCAGATGGCCGCCCCTCCCTGAGCCTGGTTCTGCCGGAGGTTTCTTCCTGTTAAAAGGGAGTTTTTCCTTCCCACTGTCGCCAAAGTGCTTGCTCATAGGGGGTCATATGATTGTTGGGTTTTTCTCTGTATCTATGAAGCGCCTTGAGGCGACTTTTGTTGTGATTTGGCGCTATATAAATAAAATTGAATTGAATTGAATAAATCATGGACACATAAGAGTCAAAGATAACCCAGGGTCTGCTTTACCTTACCAGTGCAGTGTGTTGTTTACTTGTCAAAAAACAAAACAAAAAACAAAAACAAACCCCCCCCCCAAAAAAAACCAAGATGTCAGCAATGAAAATGTCACATCTGGTTAAAATTTACACAACTGAATAAATACACCCTCAAATGCAGATATTTAAAAGATATTTTTTAATAGTGCACCGAAGTATGAAAACAAGAGTTGCAAAATAAGACTATTCAAGAGCTTAGGTTGGTATAAGGTTAGCCTTCGTTTAGGTTGTATAACATCCTCAGCATCAAAGACACTTTAAAGACAAAGATAACGCTCAGACAGTAAAGACAAAACAAAGAACCTGAGAAAGAAAATCAGCACTCCACGAGCACCATGATAAGACAGAAATAATCAACGCTTTTCAGGAACCATCGACTCTCAGTGTTCAAACCTGAAGTCGTGGCTGAAAGATGGGACTGACTGATTGGCAAAAAACACAGAAAGTGCAATAATTTTTCTGTCACTTAAAGTGCTCAACTCGTTAATTCACCCTCACAGAACGGCTATTACCTCCTCCACTCGAAACGCTCAGAGACGAGTGCAGGAAAAAAAAAAAAAACAACACCATGAAGATGCACATATTTAAAAGGATGAGGGGAACAACATCAGCAGCTCAATTCCATCGGTAGTGCTGACATGACCAACACTGAGGCTGATGACAGAACAACAAGGCTCCTTCTTGTCACATAAAATCACAAGCACAGTAAATATTTTTTCTTCACTTAAGATGTAAAATAAAATCACACACAGTCCAGTTCAGGTGGTGAAATATCAGCGAGTTTTGGCTGGAGAGCGAAAGCTTCCTGTGGCGGCAGTCGTTCCAGAAGACACGGATATAAAATATGAATCTTTAGTGGTCATTTGTAGGTCAAAAATAAAACAGTTCCATGTACATGTTTCACTGTGTACACTATTTACAAACCTTTTTAACAAAGGAAACTGCAGACAACTGTTTTTATTGCACGAAGGCGATCACAAAGTTCGGTGACTCCAGTCTGGTTTGATTTCGGTTGATCTCCCCTTCAAGGTAGTTTCCTCAGGAAACACTGGACCTGTTCTAACACAACTATAAGCCAAGAACACTCCTTTAGTATCCAGCTCTGACTGCGTACTTTCACTTCTGTGTATCCATTAGTGTGCCTGTTTGTTCCAGGGTGCCAAACCTGGCCAGTGGGCAGTGGCACTGCGAGAGAAGATTGTGCTCTTAAACGACCTGAGTGTCACTGTGAACACCCCAACTTTAAAAACAAAAAACTAAATAACCTGACAGACGAACTTAAAGTGATGAGAGAAAGAGTAAAGGCAAACGTGCCAAATGCTGCTGTTCTTTCATTGTCCACTGGAGCCCCTGGACGCAACCTCCAAACCTTTCTTGTGCTGTTTGAGGCTTCTGGAGCATTTTAATGCAGTTACCTCATTAATTATAAGGCTTTCTGAGAGTTGCAGTCGGTCCAAGAAGTTAATGCATCAGTTGAGTGAAGTTCTAGTATAACCGAAAAAGCTTTGGCTATCGATTCCTCCTGTTTTCCCGCAGCGTGTTTCAGAAGACTGATAAGTTCCTGTTCCGTACTGCTCAAAGTCACTGCAAGCTGATGAGGAGGGCAGGAAGTCAGACACAGGAACAGCTTAAATTTAAAAATAAAAGATTATGGAGTCGTTAAACGCTCCCAGTGTGACTTGAAGCCGTGCAAAGGACGGAAGAAAACAGTGTCACGGACACGTATCCGACAGATTCCTCGGGTAAGGCTTCAAAATGGGTGACATCACCGTGGCTACGTTGATGAATTCCTTGTGTGCAACCCTGTAGATGCAACTCTGTGCCCTACCTGGGACGATGTGATCTAACAACCGTGTAAACTGTCCCAAAATCAAATGCAAACAATCAAAACAGGAGGAACGTCCAAGGAGTCGGGGTGCTGGAAGAGGTCCAGAGTTTCACTCAGAGACAACCTTAAAGGGGAGATGAGCTCAATCCAAACTTGACGTGGGTTTTTATTTTTAGGAGCAGAACTTTTTTTGAAGGCTTTCTATCCCATTTGGAGCTCGTGTTTAGAATCCAGCACTGAGGAAACAAGACGTGGTGCTGTTCTGTTCGGCTGTAGTGTTGTCTGTCTAGTGTTTATAAAGTGGAGACACAGAGGTCGCTCTGACTACCCGAGCCGCCCCCGCTGGGTACCAGGAGCTCGTCCGTGTCCAGCGTTTCCAGTTCTGCCAGATCTCTGGTCGTGAAAACAACTCAACAACAGTTATGCGTCACAGGAACCATTTGGAAATAATAACAACACTTTGTGTCCAATAGATTGTCATTTCTTAGGATCCTTCAGTAGACCAAAAGGAAGTCTTCTCCCATATTAACGGTTTAATTTGGCAATATCACTGATAATGAAGTCCTGCATCTTGAGTGACGTACCGTTTCTTTCTTTTAGACACAGAAAATAAGCAAAAATGAGGAAATCTTTAGTCTGTAGTGTTGGATGGAAGCGTGATGATAAAACCGAGCTTCCAGAACTAAATCTGAACACTGTAGAAAATAAATAAGATGTAATGGGAGGCACTGGGGGTACGTTCAATGTCTCTGAAAGCTTCCCGATTGTCAGCTCAGCCAGATCCACGATGGCCGCCCTGCAAGAGAGAAGAAAAAAACATTGTCAGAGACAAAAACTGTGCGCTTACAGAAACTCAACATAACAAAAACCTCCTATTTTAATAGGAAACGCTTTCACTGCCAGGCTTCAAGAAAACAAAACACAAGACAAAAAGAAGCCGTTTTATACCAGCAGTGATCACACTTCAGCCTGCTGAAGCAACACTGATTAAACACGCCTTGAAGGTCATCAGTTACAGTAGTTTACCTGAAATATCCCACCTGCACAGGTTGTAAGACCCCTTTAAATTTGTGGATCAACACTGTGTGTCCTCTTATATCATTTGAATATTTTTCATATTTTTTCCTTATTATCATACTTGCATTGAATAAATTATCCAAGTAAGTAAAATATAAAACACTTTGCCCGTGTTGTTGGAAGGTGGCGTTGTCTGAGAATACAAGAGTTTGTGGCACTGTTACATGATGAGCTGATACTTGATCTGTAATGAAATAGTAAGATCAGCATTTATTATTGGCTGACAGTCCTGTTAGAAACTGCACGCTGAGGTAAGATCCCCTCAGCTCTGCTGCGAAATCGAATCATAGCTCCACTAAAGCAATGACCAGAGACAAGTGACTTCTATCTAAAATATTTAGGCTGGACGTCGGACAGATGTTCAAGGCAAATGGCTAACTCTGGTAAATATTATCGGCTTGTTTAGGGAACAAACCTGTCACAGGATTTTGCATTAAAGTGGAAGTTTTTTTTAGGCTGCCAAGCTCAAAGCAAAGTGTGGACATATTATAATGTGTTTTTGAGGATGAGACGTGAAATGAAATAACATCTATTCCTTATGGTTTCCTTTTCTTTTATTCCCTTTGCCTTCAAACTACACTGAGGACAGAAAAAAAAATGTGGAAAACCGAAACAATGAGCTAAAAAGAGACTAAAAATCCAATACGTTTCTATTTGGATTTCTCATTGTCGGTTTTCACACTGCAGAGGAAATTTAGGTTAGAAGTAACTATGAAGGACCAAAACTGCCAAAATCCAAACTAAATAAATGTCTGAAAAGAACAATAATACACCAGTAAATCCTCCAAAACTATCTTTATCAAAATCATTTATGACACAGATTATTTTAATTCCCCTATTTATGTAATTTCCAACACATTAATTAATACTAGGGTTTCTTCTTCTAAAAAGAAATCCTACCTTCCAGTACCATTTTCAGATTATTGTTATACATTTTTGCCTTAGTTTGTTCCTTACTTTTATTGGCAATAAATAAGATAAAATACAAAATTAACTTAAACACTTAAATCTAAGAGAAATGCCAGGAACAAATTGTTCTATTAAATGGGGAAAATAGTGAAGTTTAGGACAAAACATGCAAAATATGTTTATTAATCTGTCACAACTGAATTGAATTTTAAATTTAATTGAATTTGGTCTCTTTAATACAATATTAATACTGCTGGTGAATTATATTTTATGCAATTTTGTGGCAATACATAATTAATAATAATTGTGGCCGTAAGTTATATTAAGAATTCTAAATGTTAAAAGAAATAAGAAAATTAAATTCATATTTTAATTAAATAGCCAAAGAAAACATGAAATTAAATTAAAGAACATTAAATAAATATAGGAGACAAACATAATTTTCAAAAGCAATTATGTTTTTAATCAAATTACTTTAAGGTTGTTTTTTTTTTTGACCACTTTAGGGGCAAGACAAAATAAAATTAGTTTACTTGCTTTAATTAAAAAGCAAATAAGGATGAATAAGATCAAGGGAAAAATAATACAAAAATATATACTACATGTACAAAATAGAAAATTAAATAGGTAATTGTATATTAAGAGTATTTATTTGTAACATTTGCGCTGATTTAATGGAATATTTATTTTGCTATTGCTGAATGAGCGAGTCTCTTATTTGTTTTTGTTTATTCACATTTTAATTTGGACAGTTTCGGTCCTCCGTATCCTGCAGCACCATCAGTCAGTCAGAGTACACAAATGACTACTTTTGATTTGTTATTCTTTCAGTCTAAGATTGAATCTAGCAGCCTTTCACAAACACAAATACAGACGTAAACAGCGCACAAACCAAGACCAGAAAAGGTCGAGTGGGATTTACATTTTGTTTGACTGCCGGATCACGAGCAGAAGCTTCCTTCGCCGGGGGAGACGGTGTGGAGGGGAATAAGGCTTTCACACTGCTCGCTGTCATCTGGCAGCCTGCGGATGGAGAAAACAGGATGTCAATCATCATCACAGTCGTCATCCTGACAACCATCATTATTATTATAATCACCGCTAACCAAAAAGCAGAAGAGCGCTGTGCAGAGAGGTTAGTCAGTGAAGCATGTACAGCTGATTACAGACTTAACTTAGCAAGACTGCAAGCCACAAATGGACTGCATTATCCAAAGTGTGTGTCAGAGTGAAGGTCAATCCATTTTTAATAGGTCACACACCACAGACGCACAACAACAACTCACTTTCTTTTCACAAACTTAAAAGCTTTGACTTCTTAAAAACACCAGGCGTGTGATGACTCACTTCCTGCACAGGCTTCAGAGTACATTAGCTTTGCCTGCTCTCAGGTGTGTGCACAGCTACAACTTCCATCTGCCTTTTACAAACACACAAGCCATTAAGCAGCTTTTTGCAGCTGCATCACAAATGACACAGCCGCTACATTTGGAGCCTCACTGTACACAAATAAAAGTGGATAATACAGACAATTTGTGCCCATAAAGTCCAAAAAGACTCATTTGTTTCAAATGATGTGCTCTATTTTTGCTTTGTTTTTTTCATTTCACTGATGTTCATTTGCTTAAATAAGAGTTTGAACAAACGCGGTATTGAGAAATTAAAATGCATTTGGCTCTAGTCAAAGTGTAATTACATTTATGGTTATTCATCCCAAAAAAAAAAAGCAAAATTCTGCTCAAATTTACTTATTTTCCCAATATTCCACCAGGCTGTAAGTTTTTTGTTTTATATATTTTGGTCATTCTTACAATCACCAAACAATTACACTCACTGCCTATCAAGTTATCAAGCATGTGGTTGCACTAACTTGTCACATCTCAAAGCACTAAGATGACGACGGAGAAAAGGCTCCTGTCAAGCTGGGTGGGCACGTCCATCTTTTACGTACAGTCTGTGTTCCGGAGCCAACCTTATAAGAGGAGTTTCAGTTTTCTACACTTCCTGACTTGGTTTTCCAGCCCCAGAGCATAACTCCTAATCCTAATTTAGCTGTTATCATATCTGAGATTATTGTCACAATCCATGAACAGAGTTGCTGCTGATAGGAACGGCTTTCAGCAGCATTTCCTCTTTTCATGCACCGTGGCTCACCAATGGAGGCTTTAAAAGAAGAAAAACCCTCTGATGATAAATGTTTATAGTCTCGTACCTCTGAATGCGATGCTTCCTGCAGATGAAGGCGTAAACCCTCCTCAGCCCCACCAGCACTGGGTCCCAGTTGTTGTAGTGACATAAAAGTGTGGCGATGAAGAAGGAGAGGAAGACAGGGACCGCTCCGGCAAAAAACAACCACGAGAAACGCACCTGTCGACACACACACATATGAGGGGAAACTAATTTAACACAATCCGTGCCATTAAAAGGTGTGGTGTGGGGTGTTTTCCATGCATTAAACATTTTATTCTGTGATTAAAGGACCCTTATAAGAATGAATCACAAAGAGTTAGTTAAAATAGATAAAAGTACTTTAAGTAAACCCATTCGGAATCATTTAGATACAATTTTGACAGTTTTCTTGCTGATTTCACACAAAACCAACAAAATTACGTACAATTTTATCTCAAACTCTCACCTTCTGCATGCAAATGTCGGCCATAATGGAGAGTGGGATGGTGAGGCTCAATGCCAGAGTCCCAATTAGAGAAGATGTGAGGAAACAGCCCCTGAGGACACAAAGACTCGTCACTAAAAATCACCACTTCTCTGAAAGCTATACATTATTCAAACACAACTCCTCGTGGCCTTCATGGTAGTGTGAACGTTGATGATTTGGTGTCACTATTGTGACCTGATAGAAAATGTAACCCAGCTCACCAGAGCCAGAGGAACTCGGACAGAACGGTGCCGATGAGGCCGTTTATGAGGATGTACGTCCACACGAGTTGGCTGGGGAGCTCAAAGGCCTCGAAGCCGGTGTAGTGGAGCAGGAGGAAGCCAGGCCACAGCAGCAGCAGGTTGAACAGACCCACAAACCCTGAGAGACGCACAGCACACCCCAATTTAGACAACTTCATGGAGTGAGACTACAGAGGTGACCGCTGAGCCTTTAAAACAAACACTTCTCCTACCAAAGAACATTGGGATGTCGAGCTTATCCTCCCGATCCACTCGCCGCTTGATCATTACGATATAGACGGCATAGAGCATCGCCCCAGCCAGTGACCACAGGGAACCTTCATAGAAATATAAATCATTACATTAGATGTGGGGTTTTTGTATTACACCAACAGACTAGGAACAAGGTGATGCCTGTACGAGGCCTCTGTGATAAAGAAAAAGTTGGAAATCACTGACCGATGACTCCTTTCCCATCCGAGATGTCCATGCTGGAGAGACTCACGAGGGCAACGCCTCCCATGCTAAACAAGAGAAGCACTGAATTAATCTCACAATTAAAAACGAACATGTTAAAAATAGGAAACGCAGAGAGAGAAAATATAACACAGCTACAATGCTCAGATTTTCTGAAAAACACAAAACTGCAGAAAGAAATGAATAATGTGATGATTTTCTTAATCAGGTGCAGCACAGGGTTTAATCAGCAGTAGGATCAAACAGTCAGTCTCTCTGAAGGAAAACAATCTGCCTCTAACCGAGCGGAAACAAAGATGGTTGAGAAAGAGAGAAAAAAAAAAAAAAAAAAAAAAATCACACTATGAAATAAAACCAGTGAATCTGAGAGCACAGCCAGTGAAGAGTGTAAAAAAATCTGCTATTTTCAACAACAACCCATTATTATCGAGTATCATGCAAAAGTCTCGAACCACCCTTCATTTTTTATTTTACTTCCAAGAAGCCAGATGGTTTTCAGCATCAGTTCTCCAGCTGTCTGAAGGTCTTTCAAAGCATTTCCTTCGACATTGACTTCCTTTTCGCTCACGTTCACTCCAGTGCTTGTACCTGACCATTCTATGTCTAATCAATGTCTATTAACCTGTTTTAGGTCAAACCTTTAGGTCTAATTAATGCAACTCTTGAACCAGTTGCACACTCAAAAATTCCAACAGTTTCTGAAAGTGTCAACTCTGTGCTTTTTCAGCGATATATACGGTAATCCCAGGCAGGGCAGCACATCCAAATCACGGCAAATAACAGTAAAAAGCAAAAACTTTTTTTTTTTTTTTTAACTACTGTAAAAATATCTGTTTTCTGTAGAGCTCAGTCAGTCTTTGAAGGTTCCGATTTTACGGTAGTTACAGAACTTGGAAGAAAACCACGGCAAAACGCCTGTCTGACGTCAGAGACAGGTTAGGCTTCAGAGGGTTAAAAAGTTCCACAAAAGAATACTAAATACCAAGTTCTTGTTCAATCTGCCAGTTTATGTGTCTGTGTTGCTAAACTAGCATCCTCTGAATGAAGTGTGTTGAGCAGGTTGTTCGATGCTAGAAATGAAAAAACAGAACTTTTTGGATAAATAAATGCAGCCTGAATAAAAAAAAAAAAAAAAAAAAAAAAAAAAAAATCAGCTCTGACTGCATTTTATTTTTTTTTGAAAGTGAAAACGAGTAAATTTTATTCATTTTACTTCAGAGGCCAAACTTTAAAAAATAAAATGAAAAAATAATTTGAAGCAGAGCTTGAAGATTTCCATGAATCCAGTAGAGCTGGATGGAAAAGGTGCAGCCGGAAGACCAGATTATGAAATCTATGTGTTTTGGTTTGTGCAAAACACAAACAAGCTAAGAAAAGAAGAGCTACATCTCCTCCAGCAGAGATGACAGCTTATGACTTTTATTTGTTTTGAATCAGCTGCTTAGGAATATGAAGTTAACAATACCCAATAAGAAAGGAGCTGGATTTATGATCTGAAATACTCCTGAATGAACTAGACCCGGTGGTTTCAAACATACGGTCCGAGAGCCACAAACAGCCCACCAAATGGGCCATTCGGCCAAATGTAAAAGGAAGGTGGTTTTTAACTGTATTTTTATCAGTTTTACAGCCTTCTTATTGACAAAGTAACTTTGTAATAGATAGAGGACAGAAACTGAGGTGTTTTTTAATTAAATAAGAGGTCCTCCGTAAATTTCTAAATACATTTTTATTTCTGTGAATTAAAGGGTAAAGAAATCTGGGTAGTGAGCTGTGAGGCCCTTTTCTGTAACGTTATTCATTAATTTCTTTATGTTTAAGCCCAAAAAGCCACAGTGGCAGCCAGCATTTCTTTCCAGTGAATAAAGAGGAGACCCTTTTGTATGCTGTATCCTGTTCTGAGCAGCCACCTGCCCCACATGGAGATATCACCCTTTAAAATGTACCCAAAAATGGCATAACCCTTTGAAATTACACTTTCTGAATTTTCTTCTCAGTGAATATATCAGATTTCCAAATTCCGAGTTACTTCCACTTTTTATTTTTTAAGTCAGCTGACCCTTAGGGAGTCTGGTAGGGAGTGTTCTTGGATTTGACTCCCACAATGCTTTTTCTCACCCTCCGCGTGATCCGGCCTTACCTCAGAGCCACGGCTAAGAGCTTGGAAAGGGTGAAGCGGTCGCTGCTGTTGCTGGGAAATATGGCTGCCAAGATGAGTGTAAACAGACCTGAAGAGGAAAAGGAGACATTCAGAAACGATTTAATGCAATGATCCATCATCTTTGAGATGTTAGTGCTGTAATGTACACGGGGAGAGAGAGAGAGCGATGGAGTTACCTGAGGTGGAAGATAAAATGTTGACGATTGCGACCTGCGTGTCGGACAGAGCTTCCTGGTAGGACAGGTTAGCCAGGAACCACTGTGAGACAAACAAAAACGATGAGGCCTGTGATAAAACACTGTTTAATTTGCCTCATAAATCCAGCTCTGATAGAGAGTCGGGAACTCCAACTCCTCTCACTGCTGCTCACCACAAAACAGAAGAAGAAGCTGATTTTGGCCACGTCAGTGATGGTCAGCTTGCCCACGGTGCGCAGCATGGCCTCGTGGTCCTTGGCAGCGGGGTAGGACATGCGCGACAGCTTGGCCTCCAGGGCCTGAGTGGAGGGCAGCTGGCGCACCTCCATGATGTTACTGAAACGCACCCGCTGCTTTTTGGATGCTGGGAATAAAGAGACAAGACGTAACTTTAAAGGCTTTAATGTTTACTGCTGGACACACCTAGTTAGGCTCTAAAGCTGCCTCCATCAAAAGCAGTTACCCTCTTGGTGCAGCAATACGTATAATACTGTGTCTTCTCCACACTTTGACCCTACGATCTATCTGCTGTAGGCAGAATCTGGACTCATCACTGAACATGTTCAGGTTCTAATGCACATGTTACAGACATCACCGCAAATGGGCTTAATGGTGAAGGGCAATCCTGGCTGCCTTATGAGACCAGAGCCTGGCTGTGTGCAGTCTGACCTGGCTTGTCTGGGTAGAGAGTCATCGGCCATATCGTCCTGCAGACCTTGACTGCAAACATGTAAAAGACTGCCCTTGGTTCCTACGTGCTGACAGAATGAGGAAACGGTCTTCTTGTGTTGTCTGACTGGAACGCCAACTTTGCAACCCATCTCTCTCAATTTGGAGAAGATACTGGTGCTCACTCCAAATAATGCTGTAACTTGGTTTTGTGGAAAACCAGCATGAAGTTGTCCTATAGCATTGGCCATGTCCAGATCAGTAAAAGGTTCTGCTAATCAGGAGCCAATCAGGCAGCTGTGGAGTACCAGTAGCTTTAAAAAAGTGACTGGCAGAATAAGCCATTTGTTATTGGCGGAGAACTTGTTTGTTTTTTTTTCCACGGGCACAACCCACATACTTAACTCTGCTGCTCAATCCACAATGCTTTTCCTTATGAATGTGGCAGAGAAATAAACAGGCTTTCCAACAGTATGAGATTCATTACCAAGAAACATTGTTACAAGAAAGAAAGAAACAAACCGCCTTACTTTTTATGCTAATTTTATGTATGAGGTTTTTTTCTTTTCAAAGTTTGACAAAATTTGTCTCATTCAATGTGTAACATGGTGTTTGAGTTTATTTCCAAAACAATCCTGTCATCTTTTTGGCATTTAATCATTCGAGGTTCGTTAATATTTATTTTTAATCACCCTGGATTCCCTCTGGATTCTTCAAAATTATCTCCTCACACGTCGCTCTGAGCGCTTCCCAGAATGTTTTAATTTCATAAAAAACATCACTTCCACCTTCAGGTGCCACAAACATAAACACAGGAAACGAAATCTCAGCAGAAACACCAAAAAAAACCCATCACCGTTTACCTTGTCACAGCTTCCCATCACAGCAGTTAAGACACATGATTGCTTTTTATGCTCGTCTTCATTTGTTTGTGAAGGCGGGCATAAAAAAATAAAAATAAAAAAAATCATTGTTTCTTAACTGCTCTATCAAACAGACAATTTGAGCATAATTTAGTTTTGTTAGTCACTGAAAGCAAAGGTCTGAGGGACACAACGTTTTCTTATATTTGCACAGCTCAGCACTGCCCTCTGTTGGTCAGAAGTTTCAACTCCTAATCAGTCACGTCTGGGTGAAAGCTTCAGAAGCAGGGATGCATTTTTAATGAATGACACAAACATCAGTACTCACAGGATTCACAGTCTCCCATTAAACAGCTCGAGTGCTCGGTGGGGACGTCCTGGAACTTCACAGGTACGTACAGAGGCTCACTCTGCAAAGGTGTGACAGAAAGCCAGCTTAGGTACAGGTGCAGGATGATTTACTCGTGTGCAGTACACCTGCAGTAATTAAACTACGTACCAGACAATTGTTCACAGTGGAGTCAGTGGTGCAGGGTGTGAAGTAGGCTTCGGCATCAGCAAACTGCAGAAAGGTGCAAATCAAACATCAAAGAAGTCAAAAGCAGAAGATGTCAGACTGATCTTCAGCTTCGTAACAGAAAATTATATCATTCTATAACTTTTAGTTAATTATCGCCATTTTTGTTCATGAACACAAAGAATGACAAACATAAATGGAGATAAAGTTAGAGCATAGAGCATTTGGCAGGTTTGCAGTGGACAGTGGATATAATGGACAAAAGAGCTGAAACAAGGACAACCACAGAGAAGATTCATGGATGTGATGGAGGAGGACATGCAGAGGGTTGGCGTGTCAGAGGAGGATCTGAGGGATAGAGTGAAATGGAGGCTGAAGGTTTACTGTGATGAGCCCACAAGTGAGCAGACGCAGGGGGTCTGCCTGTATTTTCTGATCTTTTCCTTTGTGAAATACTAAACTTTTTGTGCTGCTTTCTGAGGTAAACATGAAAGAAAAATACTGGCGACATCCAATGCTACGCCTCAGCTCACCTCACAAGATTTTCAAAAAAAACTGACCTCTGACCCTGACCTCGAGGTTGAAGTCACTGAGAATTGTCTGAGATTTGTAGTAGAAGCACCTGTGGTATCAATTTGAAACTCCTACGTAACCACCTTCTCGAGTTATTGCATCAACAAATTTGGGTGTCTCCCTGGAAGAGTTTAAAGCTCTTATAAAGACTTGTGTTGATGTTCCTAAGCCTTTATTTTGCCTCCTGTCTGTTTGCGTTGTCTGACACAGTCATATGAGCTTGCCAAGCAGGTCTCAGTTTGCAGAGAGATTTAAATCTAAAAGGGCTTCCTGGTCAAATAAAGTTAAAAACAAGTACAATTCTGTTTTTTTAACCCCTACTCTACAAACATACAGGTGGAACTCACCCCCTGAACAAACATGTTCAAAGGGTCAGTTCCCCCTGAGCAGAATGTTTGCCTCACTGACTCGTGTTACGATGAAGAGCAGCGAGCACAGCAACATTTACACCGATGAGTTTTAACAAGAAAAGAGCTCGACAGACACCTGTCACCATTAGAAAAGTAAAAGCATGAAAAACAGCCCTTAAATGTGCGCTGAAAGTGTCCACTTACGAAGGCGGACCGGCGGCGTTTCAGGGTGCCCGTGCACTGCTGCCTCCATGGCCGCCACAGCAGGAAGCCCAGCAGGTACAGCACGAACATGGACGTCTTGGCGAAGGTGCTGAAGAAGGGCTTGTTATAGTCCTGTCGCTTGAAAATGTACTGCAGAAGGAGTTGTTTCATAAACTTAATTTCAAAGGTTGAAACTCACAATTTAAAAATATTTAACTGCAGTTTTTCCTCATGAGATGTGAAGGAAGAGCATCACAGTCAGGTAAAGTTACTCCAGCACCATCTGGTGTATCTGCGCCTCGTTTTAAAGCGGGCCTATTCTGCTTTTTTCTGCTTTCTGGGTCACATTAAACATGGTCACAGTTTTATTAAGCCTTTTCAGTGTTTGGCTCCAACATCACAGGCATGGAGATCAGACTTACCGAGGTCAGCTCGGAGGAGGCGACCCAGATAACATCCACCAGCAGGAGTATCACCACCCCCAGAGCCATCCGTCTCCGCTGGGCTGCAGAGCTACCCTGAGAGCTCATCCGGTTCATGATAAACACCCACTCCATCGGGACGGTGAGAGGAGAAATTCAGAAACTGCCTCGCTGATGACGACATCACAAGACAGACAGAAGACTGTGAGCTCCGAGGTTGACCAACTATAAACTTCCCAACTATTTACCTTAGATTTTTTTTCTACTTTAAAGCTGATGAACCTGTTCTAAACCTGTTTAAAAAGCTGCCGTTCAACATTTTAATCACTAAAAACATCTAAAAAGTTATGAAACCACACAAAGAGAGACTGCAGTCTAACATATCAACCAAAACCTCAATTTTGAATGTGGCTAATCTAGTGTGGAGTCTTTTAATCTGGAAGTGGAAGTTAGACAGACAATGCAAGGCATAAACAAACCTTCAGAAAACTTTTGTCCAAACAATAAGTGTGTTAGTGTCTGTAAGTTTGCCTGCAGCCAAATGTTTAACGGAGTAAGGTTATCTTTTTACCACTTCAACACCCACCTGGTCGCTGCCAATAAGTAAACTGTGAATTTTAGCCAGTCTCTTTGAAGGTCAACTCAGATTCTTTGTTTCAGCCAGTTTAAGTTGAGACTCGCAGTTAAACACCTGCAAAAAAAAACAAACAAAAAAAAACAAATTAGAAGCCAGGAGAGTTACTCCACTGTGCTGAAAAACTTTGTGTGCGTGAAAAAACAACAAATGTCCATGATAACATATTTATCTCTATCCCCTATATTTGAGGACCTCTGTTTCCTTAATGATGAGTTTGACAAGTCAGTTTATTTCAATAAAGATGAGGTTTGATGACCATTAGAATAGTTTGTGTAGCTGCACAGGCAGAGACCAGCCTCACTAACTTTTGATTCAAACCCAGTTATTTTGTTATATAAGCAAGTCTGAAATATGACACAAACCAATCAGTTCAGAAAAGATTTTCGAGGGTTGCTTCTAGTCAACTTTCAAAAGGTAAAGAGTTAAACGCTGCACAGAGAGCAGACCATGGATCTGTATGAAGAAAAGGAAAATATAAACCTGAGGCTACAGTCCCACAAACTCTGACACAAATCCTCTTCCTGATGAGGACGTGAGCATCTGTTAACCAGCCCAAAGAACACCTCATAGAAAAATGCTGCGATGGAAATAAAGGCTGCATATCTGAATGCTCATCGCTGCCTCTGTTAACTGCTGAACGATGAGCTTTGGGTGTTTGTGAGGGGTCTGCAGACACTGAGCTTTAACAATTCACTACTGTCTTCATGCTAACATGCTTATCATGCACTTTACAGTAATCATGTCAAAATTAAAATGCTTAACTCTTCTCTAATATTTTACAAATTTAAAGAATTTGAAATATCATTATTCTTAGTTTATATTATTTACTTATTGTTCCATATGTGGGTTACTGAGTGGTGGTGTGGGGAAATAAATCATACGACAGACAAATACCAGTCGACTACCCACTTTTAAAATGAGGGATAACAAATGCAAATTAAGAGAAAATAAAATTTTTGAAAAATATGAAATGTCGCGGTGTACCCGTTAAACTTTGGAGTTAAACCACGGATGCATTGTCCAGCAGACTGTAACTTAAATACTAAGAGTTCACCTACAGCTCTATGTGACATGAAAGCTTTATTACTTCTTTTTTTTGTTGTTGTGAGTGTGTTTTAGTCTGAGGTTAGAGATGTAGTTGATCTAATTTTACTTATTTGTTGTCTCTGAAACTCTCTTTTTAACCTACTGTGTAACCTGAGGTGCACCTTCTTAGAAACGTAACTACACGTCAGGTCAAAGCAGTACACAACTACTGTTATTGGCCTGTTCAGTGCCACTGATTACTCTTGTGCATTTCCAGCCACTTAACAATTATTGTCTCAATATAAGGACTAATAATCATAGCATCAATATAAGGACTCGCAAATCTCAGCAAATTCCTGGAGGGAGACTGCTCAATATACTGGACGCAATCAGGGAATGTTCAAAGACTTGGAAAAACAAACAAAAGCATTTTGTTTGTTTCGATTGACCGGAGGACATGTACAACACCAGGACACACAAGGTAATTAACACGTAATCCACTGATACAAGCACAAATGCCAACAATGACATTGGCCAATTACATGTTACATCATAGGTGCTACAAACACTCCCTGCAGATATCTAACTCAAGCCTTACCAGTAACACTTGTGATCCAACTACTAATTTTGACCTCACAAATGTATTTTCTTTCACATGTCGTATTTTATTTTACTGAGCAACTCTACTTTGATTAACCTGAAGTGATCAAATTGATGGCAACTTGACTTAAGTTTCTGAAGACACTTTAAGTCTCATCTGAGAGGCAACTTAAGTTCAGAAAGCTGAGAGGAAGGCCTGTGCATTTACCCACTAGAGGGGCTGTTACCTTGGAGGACGTTGTTGACCCATCCTGACTTTATGAGACTCATTAAGGTCGCACTAGACAAGTTGTGAATGGAGAATCTCTTGCTTTAAAAGGTGGCTGGTGGACAGGCCACCAACGCTACTCTGTGATGGTCTCCTTCACTGAACAGATAGACTTAAGATGACTGAGAACCTACACAGACTTTGTTTAATATACTACCTGTTGTGTACCATATGTGAATTTCACCACATATATGGTCAATAAAATCCACACTGTGCTGAAATGAAGCGAACCATATGTTATAACAGGGCTTTTTACTACCATCGAAACACCAAACGGAGGGATAGATTTCGGTAAAATGGTGCTCATGGCTCCATTTTCAGACAGTAGGAGACTATGTGTAAATAAACTTTGTTCTGCTTGTTTTTCAACTGTCAGTGGGCATGCCCCGAACTTTAAAAACACACCTCAGAAAACTTTTAAACGATTACTAATGAAAGACATGCATACACCTTCACTTACCTGAGCTTTAATTCCAGCTATCTGCCAGCTAGCTACGCGTAGTACATCCAGAGAGCGTTGGCAGTAACTCTTAAAGGTACGAACAGGTAAGCTGCTGGAAACACGACCTCCTCAAAGCTAGCCACTCACGGCTTTTAAGCTAGCTAATTTATTACCTGTTAAATTCTGACAGTCTGGAGGTCGACAGGTGTCCCGACGCTTTACTTTATAACTTATCTGGACATCTACTCCAGTTCATTGCCCACAGCTCAGGCTGAAGTCCACTTATTCAGTGTACCGCCGTCGCAGGTGTGCTGCGTTTAGCTGCTTGTTTACCTATTAGCATTCTAAGCGCTAACTGGCTTGATTGAAAAAATAAAAAAGAAACAATAGTAAAATAAGATTTTTTTTACCCGAATGTGAGAGTTTAGTTTGCGCCATTATTTAAGCATCATCCCATACGCTCCGGAAATCCTGACAAAAATCACAGCTTTGACCGATAAAAAGTGTCACCAGCCCAGCGGTTGTAAACATTAGCTCAGCCTCCTGTCAGGTGACATCACTTAACGGTGCAAGGAATTCTGGGGTATGAAGTCTTAAGGGGGAAAATGTTTGTTTTTTCATACGGTATTTATAAAGTCTCATTTTCTTGGTTATTTGTTATAGCTGGGTGTTTTCACCTTTGAAAATGTCTTTTTGGAAATTAAATTGAGCAAATTAATTCAATTTTACCTCGGGCTGTGGAGAAAACATCATTTACAAACACAAATAAAAATAGGAGCTTCAAAGAGGTGGTGCTCTGTAGTCTCTACTGCTCAGCCACAGGCGAGAAACCATTTGTGTCATTGCACTATACAAATACAATCATTATGCATACTTCTTACTAATTTATACATACAACTATATTATACTTAATATTTTGTTATTTATATTGAATTACACTGTAAATATTTTTTGTTCATTGTTTCTGTATAAATTGCTCTGATGTGTTCTCATTCTTGTTGGCTTTTAATTCCGTTTCACCTCATCTGTGTAAATTTGTCGTAAATGTGACGAAAATGAAAATCCTTGAATCCTTGAATATGAGTCCTTGAATGCTAATTTTATCTGAACAGCAGGTTTCTGTTGTTGTAGTGGCGCAGGTATCTCCTCTAGTGGCCGTTGTTTTGTTTTTTTTGCGCGTGGTTATTCCCAACCGTCGAGGAAGAAGCTTGACACCGCTTTTTTCGGTGAAACATGGCTGCGTCCATTATGAGCTAGAAGAGTTTTAGTGCTTTAGCTTAAGACGCCTCCTGCGTTTATAAGTTCTTGACACCCGGGATATTCAGTTGTTGTTGGAAGAACAAATTAAAGACAGGGTTAAACGGTAAGTAGCTTTTGCACATGTGTTTGCATAAAGGGAGTTAAAGCAGCTCCCGCCGTTAGCACAAGGCTAACAGGAGCGTCTTATTAAAGGCTAATAAACAGCGTTTAGCACTCTGGTATAATAACACAGATAGCATCCTTATTATTCGTGTGTTTACAGGATCTTTGGAGCATGTTATCACCAGCGTGAGGGTCACAACATGGACTTCTCTTCACAGGAGGGGGACTCTGAGGCCCCCGCTGTCATCGATATGACCACCAGCGAGAAGGTACGTTTTTGTGATCGCTGATAAACATTTTAGGGGAAGATTTATGGATTTTATGGTTTAAAAACTGGATGAAATCACAACAGTTGTGATTATAATAATGACGACCATTTTCAACGGCAATAGACCACTTTTTTGCCAGAATGAAAAGCTTTTACAAAAAGGGCTTTAAAAGTCTTACATTTACCTTGCTGAAAGGTGCAGCAACAAGTACACATACAGTAGGTTTGTCCTAAATTAGAAAATCTCTCAACTGTGCCTTTATTAAATCAACTGTAATGTAATGGGGGTCTGCTTTCTCCTTCCAGGTTGTGGAGCTCCTGAATCAGGCTGCTCTGATACCCACAGATGAGAAGCTGAATGTGCTCAAACAGGTTTGTAGCTTGGACTTTTTAACTCTGTGATACAAAAGACCGAGCACGGCCCTTACCACAGGCTGTGGAGAAAGGTAGAGAATCTAAAGATGTTCAGATTTTCACTGGGAGTGACCAGAAAGGACAGGGTTAGAAATGAGTTTGTCAGAGAGAGGGACAGCTCAGGTTAATCACTTTGGAGACAAATTTAGAGAAGCAAGGCTGAGATGGTTTGGACATTTGCAGAGGAACAATAGTGGATATATAGGACAAAAGATATTGAAGATGGAGCTGCCAGGCAGGAGATAAAGAGGAGGACCTCAGAGGAGATTTATGGATACTACACCATACCATACCAGCTTTATTTATAAAGCACTTTAACATAAAACCAGGGTTCACAAAGTGCTGTACATATACAAATAGCATAAGCAAAATAAGATAAAATAAATAAATAAATAAAATAAAACATTAAAACAAATTGAGTCAACCCCTTAGAGAGTGCCAAAGGCTTCAGCAAATAAATGTGTTTTTAGAAGAGTTTTAAACGCAGAAAGAAAAGAGGCCTGCCTAACATGCAAGGGCAGATCATTCTACAACTTTGGAGCAGCTACAGCAAAAGCACGATCACCTCTAAATTTATACTTAGTTTTTGGCACCTTAAGGAGCTGCTGATTGGTGGACCTAGGGGAACGGGCAGGGGTATATGGTTGCAGTAGCTCCGATTTAAAAACAAAGAAATAACTTTAAAAACGATCCTAAAATGTACAGGTAAATGTACAGGTAGGATGTTGTAAAGAGATGTGACAGAGTAGGATGCAGGGATAGGATGAGCTGGATGATCCCTAAAAGGTGCAGCTGAAAGCAGTTTGAGTTATTGTAGATGATGACTTGGACTTGCAGGCTTAAACAAACTTTTTACTGTCAGCATATCTTTTTGGATCTAGCATCAAAAAGCTTCTTTTTTTTTTAACCTACACCAGGCTGCTGGCAGAAAGTCACATGTGTGATATTTTTGCTAAACATATAAACTCTATAGTGGAGCCATTTTGGTTTTCCTGATTTTCTGTCCCATACATGTTTTCCAGCAATGGATGTTTATATTAAACATGTACAAAATTTCCACTAATGAGGTTTTGTATGTGCAGGTAATCCCTGTGAGCCAGAAGGCTTCAGACGGCTCTAAACCAGGAGTGTCAAACTTGTTTTAGAGCCCAGTTTGTTTTTAAGAGTGCCAGACCAGTAAAACTATTGTCCTGTAACCTACATGAAAAAAATGTTCCTGTTTATTTCACTGTAAACAAGTTTAACTATACACTACTATGGTGCCAGAGCATGGTGTTGAAGTCTCACCCATATCTGCAGCTGAGATATTCTATTTATGAGGGGCAGCCAATCAGAAGAAAACTGACTTAAAGGGGGAGGGGCTAAAACAACAACAGAGAGGACGAACTTAGGGGCTGCACAATGGATTGAGTATAAGACAAAAATTGATTATTTTTAACTGTGAATTGTGCAAAGCTAGTCTAGCCGAGTCCAATATGGAGTTGGAAATGATCAGAAGATCTCAGTGCAACCGTGTAGACTGGTATCTAATCCACTTACACAGGAATGCACAAGAACATTGATTCAGTACATGTATTTAACCTTCAGGTCCAGGAACTCATCATCAACAAGGATCCATCTCTTCTCGACAATTTTTTGGATGTAAGTAAGCAAGTATTTGTCTCTCATAACCAGCTGTAGTTTCATTTAAATTTGCCTCATTTTTGTTTTGTTTTTTTCCTGTAGGAGATGATCGCTTTCCAGACAGACAAGTCCATCGAAGTGAAAAAGTTTGTGATCGGCTTCATCGAGGAGGCATGGTGAGTTTTCAGACCTGCTGTTGTTTTGTTTGTTTGTTTTTAAAGTCAGGGTCAGCATTTGAGATTTTTTTACTGTTTTATTATCCTGCTTTCAGTAAAAGAGACAACGAGCTCCTCCTCAGACTCATTGCCAACCTGAACATGTTGCTGAAGGATGAAAGTGTGAATGTGGTGAAGAAAGCCATCCTCACCCTCACCCAGCTGTATAAAGTCACACTTCAGGTACAAAGAGTCAGATTTACCCGCTTCATTTCTACCATTTCTCTCTTTATGCGATCAGTTTCTGTTCTTCACTTCGTCTTCACTTCCTTTATCTTTTCTTGTCTCAGTGGTTGGTGCGCTCCAAAGCCGTGTCAGAAATGCAGGAGGCGTGCTGGGATCTTGTCACACAGATGAAAGGGGATGTTCTGGCCTTGCTGGACTCTGAGAACGACGGCGTTCGTACTCACGCCATCAAGTTTACCGAATCTTTAATCATCACTCTTTCACCGCGGACAGCTGACTCTGACGTCCCCAAGCGACAGGAAGGCGACATCAGCCTGGACAAAGTTCCCACAGATCACTCGTACATTCACTACGGTACAGATACTGGACTAATGTCATGTGTTGAGGTGGTGACGTTCACCTTTTAAGGCTGATGTCTTCGCTTTTTCCCAAACAGATGAGCTGTGTGAGGAGGGAAAGACAGCGCTGGAGAAGCTGCTTAAGTTCATGGTCCACCCGGCCATATCCAGCATTAACCTCACCACAGCGCTGGGCTCACTGGCCACCATCGCTCGCCAGAGACCAATGTTCATGTCAGAAGTGGTGCAGGCGTATGAGACATTACACGGTGAGCTCTTCTCAGACTTCACACTCACTCTTTAGAGTGTTATATCGGCCTGATATCAGTTCAAAGCATGTTTTTCCCAGGTTTGATAACATCAGAGGATATATTGCTTTACTATGACCTCTCACAGTCTGGCTGCAGCTGCTAAATAACTCAATTACAAGATGTTTCCTCTACACTTTCATTTTTCAGCAAACTTGCCCCCCACTCTGGCAAAGTCTCAGGTAAGCAGCGTGCGAAAGAACCTGAAGCTCCACCTGGTGGCGGTTCTCAAGCATCCCTGCAGCCTGGAGTTTCACGGTCAGATCAGCACCCTGCTGTTGGACCTGGGAATGCCCCAAAGCGAAATCACCCGCTCCACGCCTGTGCCACGAGAGCAGCGAAAGAGGCCTCGCCAAGAGCAATACACCGAGGGAAAGAAGGTCAAGATGGGTGAGTGGTTTCAGGCTAACCTGGATCCACGGATTGTGATTAAACTTGGTCGGATAGTTAATCGACAAAGTGCACTTCAGTTTAAGTTGTCAGTTGTTGTGGTCGAAGTCTAATCGTTTGGTGCTAAAGAAAAAACTGAGTGCGCTCTGTTCATGAATCATGTTTGAGACATGAAATGGTATATTTGTATAGCGCTTTACTAGTCCCTAAGGACCCCAAAGCGCTTTACACATTCAGTCATCCACACATTCACACACACACATTCACACACTGGTGATGGCAAGCTACAATGTAGCCA